TATTGCAGTCTTTTAAAGACTTTGATTGGTTTGAAGGGATGCGCACTCTTCAAGTCTCGGTAGAGAGTTCAAAGTCTTTTCGAGAACTTTCGCAGGCTTTTAAAGACTTTGAATGGCTTTTGCAGCAGTCTTTAACGGCTTAAGCGATACGCACTCTTGAAGTATAGGTAAACAAAACTAGTCTTTGTGAGACTAATATAGTCTTTTAAAGACTTTGAATGACTGTTGCAGTCTTCTTTAATGACCTGAAGCGATACACACTTTGGAAGCCTTGATAAAGAGTCCGAATGAATTATTTTGGAGGTTTTTGCAGTCATTTAAAGACTTTAAACGATTTTTGCAGTCTTTTTTAATGCGACTCGAAGAATGCGCAGCCCGTCGGCTTGTTGTGCCAGTATACATTGCACTTGACGTTTTATTAGCTAACGTTTTTGGGTAACTTTTTTTTTTCTGAATCATCAATAAAGTTATAGTTTTGAAAAAAAAAAAANGATGCTGGGCAACGATAAAATGATATTCACATCACTTGTCTTTTGGTCGGGACTCGTGCTCATTCCGTTTATTGTTTTATTGCCAGACTTGATTGTTAAAGCGTACGCATCTGTCAACACATTTCTAATCTCTCTATGGTGTTAACAAATCACTCGTCACTGTTATTTATGTTTCAGTGTAAAAAATACAGTGTGGAAATCAATCACTGAGGCTGCTAGAGAGCAAGAGATTCGAAAGTCCGACCCTGGCAATCTTTTCCACGCACAAGATTACAGGAGCTCGTAAGTTTTTCGTACTTAATGTCTCACGCCAAAAAAAAATTTTTTTTTTTTTATTTAGTAGACGGTTTAAGGGCTTATAAAAACAGAAAATTTAATTTTGATGAGCAGATCGGATACTTAATCATTGGTTGCAGATAATTCAGCGCATATGTCATTTTATCATTCATTTTTTTTATGTATTTACCCTTGAGATTACGTGGAAAAGACCCATTACCATTTACCTATAGACATCTTGCGTAAACTATCAAAGTACTATTTATGCTTTTTATATTAAAAATAACACGAGTAGTACGTTAATACACCTGCGCAAGATGCCTATACTGTACACGTATCTCGTTAATTTTTCCACAGTATGGTATACAATGACATTTACTTTCTATTATACTGATCCTCGAGGTGTTTTTATCTGCATGAGGTGACAAGTTGTTGCAACTTTTTTTTTCAATCTATACCTTTAACTCTTACCATTGAATTATACTTACCAGTTAATTATTTACAATTTCAACGACGACGACTCGCGTTAACTTTTGTTTTGCATGGCTACATTCAAATTATACGCGATGCGTACTTATAACTAACTTTATTCAGTGTATAGCTTATCGCTAATTTATTCTTTAATATTTAACATCGTAGCTACGATATTACCTTTATGACATGAATATATATATATACATAGGTTTTAAACTAAGTCTTCGAACCGGCACTACCTACGACGGATTGGAAAAAAATGTTTCTATTCATAATATGTGTATATCTTTTAGTGCACGAAATATTACTTTTACCGAAGGGACTCATCTCTTACCAAGTAAAAGTTATTTTCATTTTACGATGGTTTTACATATTATACAAATAACTATAGACAATAGAGTCTCCATTAATTACTTATATTGCAACGGTATTACGATTTTATTTCAGGACTGAAATTCAACAAATTTCTCGTAAATTGCCTCTCCTTTAAACTGAATATGTTGTTAATAACAGGTACCCATCCGGTGTGTCCGTTTAGATCCAAGTTTGAAAAATGGGCATACCATGCCCAGTGCACCCAAGGATTGTGCAATAATTTTTGTATACACGAAATATCCCCCCCCCCCACATTATAACGAATGACCATCACAAAATATTTTATTAATACTTTTTTGCCCATAGTGTATTCGTGTGCCTTAATTATCACCGTATCATCGATTTCAATCGTATGGTATGTTACAACCTTATGGTAACGTGACAAAGTTCGATCAAAGGGTGGATATTTGCGCTGTCAGCGAGAAAATGTCGTTTGGGTTGGGAAAGTTATTGTTTTTAAAAACAACGCCCCACTGACGACATACCCAAGTATAACAAAAGACAGTGATTTGTCAAACGATTCGTCATCAAGTATATAAATATATGAGTGGCGCTTTCAATACGCGTGAACACGGACTACAGGAGTGCAGTTAGAATCGATACGAAAAACTAAAAGATCACAATACGCTGCGACGATGATAAGCGTATATATACGCATTAAAAAAAAAAAAAAAAAAAAAGAAAGTATACTTGTATACGACGTGTAAAGTTCGACTTGAGTGAAACGAAAATCCATCGCATTATTGTGAAACGCGCGATGACAAAGAGCGAGGCCGTTATCAAAACTCATTAGTTCCCCTAATGACCCAACGGCCAGTGAGACGTTGATTTCTCTTTTTTCGACTCAACAAGCGTACCCACTTGGAGCAGTTTGCTCATTGCTATACCAACTGGTGATCCGAGAGCTTTGTCCATCCAAGACCAAATAGCGCGAGTCCGCCGAAGTGAAGAGCCTTTCGCGCCCTCGGGGTATATAATCGCCGAATAACAATACGTGGACAAATCCACGTCACAACTTGGTGGGCGCACACGCGTATAGAGAGATAGAATCTCGGTGTAGAGCACCATGGAGGAGACGGACCACGAGGAGGAGAACGAGAACACGGTGGTGGACGTGAACGGCGCGGGTCACCCGGCCTTCCTTTGGTTCGTCAACATACCGACTTACGGCTACGAGGATGGCGAGCTGGTGATAAGCTCGCCCAACTTTTTGACCAACCGCCACGTGTGGCGGCTCTTTTTCCACGCCAACGAGGACAAGGACAGCGTGTCCGTGTTCCTGGGTATCGTGGACGATGGGCCGGACGTGAAGGCCCGGCTACGCGTGTCCGTGTTCGACATACAGAAGAAGAAGGTCGTGGGCACGTCGGGACTGCAGGGGGAGATGTTCGAGACCAACGTGCCCCTGCTCGTCGGCAAGTTCCACAGGGAGGACTACGGTGGCCAAATATCCGAGGACATCAACATTTTTTGCGAGATTTGGCCCGACGACGAGGAAACCGATAACATGTGCGACCACAACAACAACAACAACAACAAC